CATTCCATCATGTCTCAACATTTTGTTCAGTGACGTATGCTATAAAAATGATATGTAGTGTTATGAGGGCTGCATATGGCTGTCACGAGAAATTGGAGAAATTAGTTTAAAGTGCCTGTGAAATGGCTGCTATTTTCACGCCTAAAATTATTCATTGATACATAAATATTATTAATTTTTATGTTTCTAAGCATGAATTATTTTTTGAGTGAAAAAATGTGTTTTAAACTCAATCTACAGCAACTTTATTTTTGTGTATTTTAAAACGAGGCTCCTCATTAGCTTCTTATTTGCATACAGAAATTCCCCTTGTGAAGGGGAAGTCGCATGGCAGCTTGCATTGCCGATACGTGTAAATAAGGCAAATTTCTTGTGCAGTTTTCTCGTCTTTGACTAAATTTTCACTTATGTACTTGTTCGTCGAGGAGGAATGGACCATAATGAACACATAGTATCAATTTTTGTTGCATGGGGTTGAGTTAGATGCGAAATATGTCCGTTCTGGTGTAGCTGGTCACCGTAATCGTCACCGGCACACGTTTGTACACTGTCGCTGGACAAAATAGGTTACTAGGCATGTCACTACACTGTTTTATTTCATCGATCGTCTGAGTAAAACTTTCAAAATTAAAATAAAAGAGAACATATTTTGACATTCTAAACATTAGACTATAGTGATCACTATAAAATAATTAAAATATGACAAATCACAGTTACTAAATAAATGACAGCCGTGTGGAAATAAATTGAAATTTTGTTGAAATAGGTGAACGCGTCGGGTCACGACGAGGGCAAGTGCGTTAAAAGCAGCGTTTAATTGGATAACAAAAATAATCGAGATCGACACACATACAGATAAATTCAGAGTGGATTCGAGTCAGCGTGATCCATGGAGTGATTGTCATAATTATAACATCATATTAAAACTTTATTTAGTGGAAACACATTGACCAAGCCCGGATTCTTATTTCATAAATTATTACGCAGATCAAGCTTCAAGCATGGAGGTAAAAAAGAACAGAGTGTGAATTCGACATTCAACACAA